GAATTTGGATTTTTATTTTAGTGTGACTGAACCCCAAAAAGAGACTACCTACGTATCCTTTCGGAATCAAGTCAAACGTAGTTCAAACAATTTATTTTTGATTTTTTTTTCTTTTGTTTTTCTGTTTTGTTTTGTTTTCTTTTCTCTTTCTTTTTCGTTTCCTTTTTCCTCTTTTATTTTTTCTTTTTTCTTTTTTCATTTCTTTTTCTTCCTTTTTTTTCTTTTTTTTTAATTTCATTTTCCACTTTTTTTCTTTTCAATAACACTTTCAGGTTTCAAAGAGGGTAATCAAAGAAGAGTAACCTGCTCAAATGGGTTTGCAAAGGGTTAAGTGTTTGGATAGTGAGAAAGAAAGCCTTCTTTATCCCAACCGGAGAACATTAATGCTATATAGAGGATCCAACATAGTACCTTTTGACTGCATTTGCATTGGTAGTTGTTTCAAGGACATTTCCTTCGATGTGTCCCAAGTACAACACACTCTTTTGGCAGTACTCTTGTTGCAATGTATGGACCCTTCCAATCTGGAACCAACTTTCCTTCAACTGTTCCAAATCTTTGTTTTATTTCCTTAAACTTGTCTTCATTGTGATCTAATTCTTGATTCATTACTTCGAGGTCTGACAGCTTTTCAGGATCTAGGTATGAAGTCCGCAAGCATGTCATATTATTGAAATCTGTATTTAATAGAACTGAAAAGAAAAATAAGAAAAGTGACAAGACTAAGAAAAGAGATATTTTTGATTTTTGATGATTTTTTTTTCAATTTTTGAAGATAGAAGAGTTTACATCGGAAAGTAAGACAATAAAGTAAAACATCTGGATCACACCTTGAGATAATCCGGACGCAGAAAGGATAACAAGACTGGCTACCGAGACTCCCGTCTGATAGGGAACTTTCAGGCTTGGCGATCGTTTTTTTTTGGCTTTTCTTCTGTCTCGGCAATGGCTGCAACGACCTTAAGTGCCGGATCAAATTCCTCATTTTCACAAATCATTCCGACTATTGGCCCGCTGTTGTGTACAGGTAACAGATTGTTCATCACATCAAGAGCTTCTTCATCGTGAAAAATAATTCTTTGAGCTTCAATCAAATCTTCAACTGCCCTTTTGAGGGTCGGGAGAGATTCAAAAATAGCCAGATTTACAATTGGTCGTTCAAAGATAGCCAGTTTCAAAAGTAATCGAAATTTAGCTATTTTTCATGTAAAGATAAATCTAAGCAAAAACACTGTTCAAAACCTGAAAAATACGGCAGTATATTATACTGGAGTTCCAGCATAAGTATGCTTGAACTCCAACATATTATACTGGAGTTCCAAGATAAGTATGTTGGAACTCCAGCATAATATGATGGAGTTCCAACATAAGTACACTAGAACTCCAGCATAATATACTGGAGTTCCAACAAGTATAATTATCCAGTATAATATACTGGAGTTTGGAGCACCAGTGCTCCAGTTTCCAGTATGTTATACTAGAGTTAGCAAAGTATACCAGTCCAGCATAATATGCTGAAGTTCATACACAGGTGCACCGAACTCTAGTATATTATGCTGGACATGTCTCTGTTGCAGCAAAATAATGGCTATTTTTCACTGACTTCGTAAATGCTGGCTATTTTTGAATAACCAGTCCGAAAACTGGCTATACCGTGCTATTTTTACTTGAGGGTCCAACAGTCCTCTGTACTGTGTCTCACTGTTCCAGAGTGGTATTGACATCTAACATCAGCTCGCTGCGAGGGGGACTCGGGGTTCGGCCGGTTCGGGGCCACTGGCTGCAGTAGATCTAGTCTGATTAGTTTTTGGAACAAACTTGAATACTATTCACCAATATAGGTGAACTGATTATTTCTAAAAGGCTCTCTTGGGCGAGGATTGTATTGGGGATCATTTGGTTGAGGATTATATGGAGCTTGGTAAGGATGGACATTTTTGGGAGGTAAAGCTTGGTTTTCTATATGATATTGTGGCCGCGGGTAAGATTGCGCATTCATCACCGCATAGGGAGGCGGTGCCACGACATAAACAACATGGGGACAATAGTGTTGTGGGACCTATGAAGCATATATGATTGGTTGAATGACCTATGAGCCCCCTCGAGCTAGAAGCTATCATGGTTCCCCATTCTCTTTTGTTTCTATCACTTTTTTTTTTCACTCAATCTTTCTCTTTTTCCTTTTTCTTTTACTCAATATTTTTCTTCTTTTTTTTTTCACTCAGTTTGTTTATGACTATGATCGAATCCGATGTGGATTGCCTACGTATCATGACGCTGCATGAATCAGATCATTACGTAGTTCAGAAACAAATCAGGAATAAAGTACACACACTAACTCTAATTTTTTTTTACTCATATACAAATAACTCCATAAAAACTCCTAACAAGGAAAATATTTTTTGATTTTTTTTTGGTAGAAAGAAAAACTTCAAAAAAATAAAGAGTTTTTGGACTTTTTTTTAATTTTTTTTTTGAATAATTGAAAGAAAGACTTCTAAAGAAGAAATAAAAATATAACTTTTTTTTTTGAATTTCAATTTTTTTTATTTCGTTTTTTAAATTATTGAAAGAAAGACTTTAAAAAAAAAATATTTTCAAAAAAACTTTTGAAGCAGAAAAAGGAATAATTTGGAATTCAATTATTTTTTTTGTGATTTTAGAAAAAAAATTCTGATTTTGATTTTTTTTGTGGAAGAAAGACTTCTAAAAGAAAAAAGAAAAAATATTTTTGATTTTTTTTGATTTTTTAAAAATTGGGGTCTCTAAGAAATTCTTTTCTAAATTGGTGGCCGGAATCGATAAGGTTTGCCTACGTATCTCACATCCGGTGAGAATCAAACCCGCATAGTTCGGTGAAACTGGGTATTTTTCTCTTTTGATTTTTATGAAAAATAATCTTTACACCTCACACCAGACTACTACAAAATCATTTTTTTTTAAAAAAGGGTTTATTTGCACTAAACTAGGAGAATGACTCCTCTTTTTTTCTTCTGTTTTTTTATAATTTCGCTACACTAAAGTCGGTCGACAATGCAAGTAAGCCTTCCAAATGATGTATCAAGTAGCACATAAGTGGACATGATGGTCTCAAAGAGGATACCTGTCTTATACGGACCCGACCCCCGTGCCAAGTTTTGCTAAGTCAAATGCACGTGATGCACATAAAACGAACCTACTAGGGATATCCGGCATGAGGTTTGATCTTCTAGGTTTAAATTCCGGTGGAGAAGGTATCTAGATTGGCTTACTCGAGCGGACAACTCGAGCCGAGGAGGGTCAGTGTACCGGTAGCATTGCTTTCCGGCTTAACTAGTGGTGCTCCCCGCCTAAAACATGTGTGACTAAAATCCTTCATCGGGTGACAAGCACCTCGGCTATCTCAAAGAAAGCGGGCTATGTCAAGCAAATGCCCAATTTTTAATTTCAAGAAAACTTATAGGGGGTGGGTGAGAAAATAGTTTATATGTATAGTTCAACAATATCAAAATGATAAAAAGTGAACAGGTAGCACATTAGGCACAAATAAATCACAATATTTACAAAATTAATAAGTCCAAATAAAAAATCAACATGTACAAGCTCGAATTCTTGTGTAGATTCCCAGCAGAGTCGCCAGAGCTGTCACACCCCTTTTTTACCTCTCCAAAAGATATGTGTGTTATGGATTGTGGGTTAAAGAGTTTTTCCAATTAAAGTGACAAACTTGAGTAGGGATTATTTTATTTACAGAGTCGCCACTTGAAATTGATTTTTAGGTGTTCCAAGTCACATTTTATTTGAATCCCTAGTCAAAGGAATATTTGACTATATTTTTTATCGGTCTACGAAAATAAAGTTCGGGTAAGGAATTTTGTTGATCAGGGAGAAGGTGTAAGGCATTCCCCGAGTCCCGTGGTTCTAGCACGGTCGCTTTATTGACTACATTTGGCTTAAATTAATTTTGGATAAACTGTAATTAATTTGATTTTTATGCTTTTCCTCNTATATATAACTAATGCTGGACATTAATCTAGGTAAGTTATTGCTAAACTTTCATGTTGGGTCACTTATTTTATCTAACAAAAGACAAATTATTGATTTTACAGAAAAGCCTTTTTACTTTCTATTATCAATGGGCCTGGAGATTTTAGCTTATTTGACCCATGTTGCTTTAAAACCTCAAAGACCAAAACAACACAAAATAACAAAATATAGAGTATTCTTCTAAGCTTAAATTTCTTCTTCACGTTAATGTCCAAACTAAAATTATTTAGAAATTTTATGAACAAATGCTGATTTCGAAGAAAAATACAATTTTTTTAGAAAAAGAAAAAAATTTCTTATGTCCAAACGGGTTCTAGATAAAAGGAAAATCCAAATATGTCAAGGTAATAACCCTATCCGAGGAGGAATAGGAAAACCTATAAATTATTTCCTAAATGACTTAATTAGCAGAGCTATATATAAGTGGAATTCGACTGTTCCGCGTGTTGTCCTTTCAGGCAAATAGGAAAAAAGCCTTTAAGCGTAGCAGCAGAGGCCTGAACAGTAAATAAGGAGCAGAGGCGGGAAAACGTGAGTAGAGCAAGACACAGAGATGAAGGAGGAGAGAGCGGCGAAAGGCGGAGAACAGCGGTCGGTGGACGAACGTTACACGCAATGGAAGTCACTGGTTCCTGTTCTCTACGATTGGCTTGCTAACCACAACCTCGTTTGGCCTTCCCTCTCTTGTCGGTTCGTATTTACCCTTACATTCCCATTATTCTCTCTCACTCTCTCTCTAGGGTTTTTGTTACATCGCTTATGTGTGTAGACAGAGAGGTGAAGTATACCTATGTTCTCGTGCAATGTTTGGTAATCAAACTCAGCCGACAATTGTGTCGCTGAGTTGAATGGTGGACTCTACTCTTGGTTCATCTGTTTTTTTTTTGATGAAGTAAGATAATTTCATTAAATGGCATCAAGAAGATGCATAGCAAAAATATACAACAAAAGTGTGGCTGCTCATATTCAAAAGCTTACATAACTAAGGAGCAGACACAATCCCAAAAAGATTCAAAGCTAGTTACAGGGGCCTGGTTGAACCAAGTAAATAAATTGATTAGACAAGTTGCTTTAAGAGAGTGATTAGGAGTTGAAATCCCATCAAAACCTCTGCGATTTCTCTCATTCCAGATGCACCAAAAAATAGTAGCAGGCACCATTTGGCAAGTTTTTTTGATGGATTTCCCAACTCTCCATGAGCTCCAGCTCTCGTAAGCATCCTTTATACTGCAAGGCATGACCCAAGCAAGTCCAAAAACTGATAAAAACATGTTCCATATGTCAGCTGCTACTGTGCAATGAAGAAACAAATGTCTCACACTCTCAGATTTCTCCTGGCACATAAAACATCTGTTCACTATCGGAATGCTTCTTCTACTGCGGTTGTCTTAAGTAAGGCAGGCTTCATGCAGGCTTGTCCAGATAAAACCAATTACTTTTATAGGGAGTTTGGTTCTCCATATGAGCTTCCACGGCCATTTGTCAATCAGCTCTTTATTGGAGCATAAATTGTCATATCCTCTTTTGACAGTATAGGTTTTATCTTTGGAATCTCCCCATTCCAGCTTGTCTTTCACCTGAGGATTGACCTTAAAATCTGATAGTTTTGAAAGCAATCTCAGCAAGTCATTTAGTTCCCATTCTTGGATATCTCTTCTGAACTGCAAGGCCCATGAGTTATCTTGCCAATAGTGCTCAATAGTGGAATCCTTGTTGCTAGCGAATAGAAATAGACTTGGGTGTTCGTCTTTTAGGATGTTTGACCCTAACCATCTATCTTTCCAGAAAGAAATATGAGTTCCATTCCCAAGCTTGAGTGATGACTTGAGTTGAAAGTCACCCCATAACTTTGAAATATGTTTCCATGGCCCAGAACCATGTGGCACTCTACTCTGTCTAGTACACCAGTTATTTGCCACCCCATATTTTGCTTGTATTACAACTTTCCACAGCCTAGGGTTCTCCATGTTGTACCGCCAGTGCCATTTCATTAACAAACTCTTGTTGTGTAAAGTGAGATCTTTTATTCCTAGCCCTCCATGCACTTTTGGGAGAATATATCTTGGCCATTTAACCTGTTAGAAACCAAAGAAGCTCTATATTTCATATTTAGAAGAGAAGATTACAAGGCCTATTTATAATACTAATTCACCTAATCTATTAGTTGCCATACACCTAATTACACCTACTATACAACTCATATACATGTGCTAGCTATGATGTAGTACATGTGTATACATGTGCTACACAACTTGTATTACACCTACTATACAACTCATATACATGTGCTAGCTATGATGTAGTACATGTGTATACATGTGCTA